GAGGAAGAGAAGAAGGAGGAGGAAGAGGAGGACAGAAGAAGGAGGAGGAGAAGAAGAAGTAAGAGGAAGAGAAGAAGGAGGAAAGAGAGGAGGAGAGAAGAAGAAGGAGGAGAAGGAGGAGGAGGAAGAGGAGGAGAGAAGTAGAATGAAGAGAAGAAGGAGGAGGAAGAGGAGGAGAGGAAGGAGAAGGAGGAGGAGGAAGAGGAGGATAGAAGGAGGAGGAGGAGAAGAAGAAGTAAGAGGAAGAGAAGAAGGAGGAAAGAGAGGAGGAGAGAAGAAGGAGAAGAAGAAGTATGAGGAAGAGAAGAAGAATGAAGAGAAGAAGGAGAAGCAGGAGGAAAAGGAGGAGAGGAAGAAGTAAGAGGAAGAGAAGAAGGAGGAGGAGAAGAAGGAAGAGAAGAATAAGAACAAAATGAAGAATGAGGAGAAAAAGTAAGAGGAGGTGGAAGGGGGGGGGGGGAAGAAGTAAGAGGAAGAGGAGAAGAAGGACGAGAAGAAGAAGTAAAAGGAGGAGGAGGAGGAGGAGGAAGAGGAGGACAGGAAGAAGTAAGAGGAAGAGAAAAAGAAGGAGGAGGAGAAGAATGAAGAGAAGAAGGAGAAGGAGGAGGAGAGAAGAAGTAAAAGGAGGAGGAGAAGGAAGAGAAGAAGAAGAAGAATCAAGAGAAAAAGTAAGAGAATGTGGAAGAGGAGGAGGAGGAGGAGAAGAAGAAGTAGGAGGAGGAGAAGAAGGATAGACAAGAAAAAGATGAGAAGAAGGAGAAGGAGAAGAAGGAGACATAAGAGGAGAAGAAGGAGAGACAAGAAAAAGGAGGAGAGGGAGGAGGGGGAAGAGGATGGGGAGGAGGAGAAAAAGGACGAGAAGAAGAAGTAAGAGCAGGAGGAGGAGGAGGAGAGAAGGAATAGAATTAGAAGAAGGAGGAGAAGGATGAGGAGAAGAAGTAAGAGAAGAAGTATTAAGAGAAGAAGTAAGAGAAGAAGAAGAAGAAGTAAGAGAAGAAGAAGAGAAGATGTACCTCTGTTGTTCTATTCACCATCATCTAGAAGGGAGGAGGGGGAGGAGGGATAACAGGGGGGACGGTCGGGTGAGAAAAAGGAAGGAGTAGAGGGAGAAGTCGGAGGAAGAGGAGGAGGAGAGAATGAGGTGGTTAGTGCACCACAACAACAACAACAACAACAACAACAACAACAACAACAACAACGACACCACCATGGCGGCACCAAGCTGTAGATGGCATGTGGGTCATGAGGAGAACCAAAACCAGACAGAAGAACCGACAGCTGGACGGAGAGACTGCAGCTCTGAGTTCTCAGTAAAGGAAACAGAGGCGCCTGTGTTGTTACTGTGGACCAAGAAAAACGTCCACCAACGGAAAAATCACCTTCTGTGGAATTTTTCTTTTTCACAATAAAAAAAAAAAAAAAAAGTGAAATGCGTCTCCTTTGGTCGTCGTCGGGACGCTTTCCATGAATCACGAGTTTTTCTTTTCACTGAAGCAGCGAAAGTTTAGTTTAACAAATAAAATGTGAATTAAAACCAGGAAACAACACAATATAGTGATGTTCTGATTTCTATTAATAACAAACGCTTCATTTACTGTATTATTAGGACGCTAGTTCTGACTTAATGTGTTTGTCTTTAACAGAGACTTAACAGTGTCGTCTAACCAAAGAAACCTGATGATTTACTGCCATACGGGCTTTTATTGTGAAATAAATATTCAACATCTAATTCACAATCACTTCTGGTGTAAATTCAACAAATAAAATACAGTTTAGGTTGATTTTTTTTTAGCCACATGTCAAACGTTTATATAAACTACATGTCAGGCTTCCAGTAATTTTATTTTTATTTTTTTAAATAAATGAATTATTAATTTTTTATTTTTTTTTTAAAAACAGTCATGCAATAATGTTTTTGTTTTTTTTTAGCTATATAACAAACGTTTACATGAACTACATGTCAGTCTTGAGTTTCTAATTTTTTTATTTTTTTTTTAATGAATTATTAATTTTAATTTGAAAAAATCGTGCATTTCTGTTTTTTTTTTTTTTTTTTTATTGCTACACAACAAACATTTACATAAACTACACGTCAGGCTTAAGTTACCAACATTTTTATTATTATTATTATCGTTCTTTTTTAAAAATAAATTAATCATTAAGTTTGTTTTGTTTTTTTTAAATCATGCATTTATGTTTTTTCGTAGCTTTATTAAAGGTCGTCTGGAAGTACGACAGAAGCTGCCTGGACAAAAATATACAAACAGCAACTTGAATTATTAAAACGTTTGTTCATGATGTAAGTTTGGAAAATACGTTTGCAGCCTGAGAGGCAAAACTCAGGGCAAAAAAAGGTCAAAAAACATGAAGCTGTGATTATTTTTGACAGATATTATGGAATAAATCACGATTTTAGTGAAATTTTTTTCCACTTTTTTCCGACGAAACAGAAACTAAACAATGAAGCTCCGTTACGTCTGTAGATTATAATCCGTCATTCTGGTATCAGATTTTAACTGAATCAGTAAGAAGCAGCTGGATGTTGCACCTGACTGTGATGCCGATAATGTTTAGATTCAGTGTTCAGCAGAAACTCCAGTTTATCTCGCGGCTCCGTGATCTGATCCTGACAGTAAGAAGATTTGCTTCAGACGGATTCTGCGACCGAAGTGTCAAAGTGTGAAGGACAAAAACGGGATTTTGAGGAGGAGACGTTTCCCACATCTCCAGAGGAATTCACGTCTCTGGAAATATCAGAGGGTTTTCCTGCAGAGACGAGTTTTCTGTTCCTCTGAAGAGGTTTAAGAGAGCAACAGATAAAACCAACCGGCAGCAAAACAACGAGAGGAGCGAGAGAAAAATCATATTTGGTTAATTTGGGTTTCATTTACGAAAACTTGTTGGACATTTAGTGAATCAAATGATCAGAAATAACAGGAAATTTATGTTAAATAAGTAACACACACTCATTTACCCAATTTTCCTTTCAAATACCAATAAACAACTTTGCAAATATTATCTTTTGTTTGCAGATTTATTTACAGGAAATTAATTTAAAGTAATTTCAGAGTGCAAAAATACTGATTTTGTGATGTTTTTCATGGACATTAGGTTGAGCTTTGGCCTGTTTTTGTTTTTGTTTTTACGGTCAACAAGTAAACTTTTGGGTGGTTTTAGTAGATCTCATGTGTAATTTAATAAATCTACAGAATAACAGAAACAGCAATCCTTAAAATACAGAATTTACTTTAAAATAATTGCTAATTTTAAAAATAATGTCACTTTTTGCTGATTTAAACACAGTAATAAATAAAATTGTGTAATTTTTACGGCCGAGGGTTGAAAGAGAAGAAATGAAAGCTTTTTGATCTGGATGTTGTTTACAGCTTTGGCATGTTTATTTTTTTCATTGTTAACAGGAATAAATAAATAAATTTAGTCTAAAACAGGTAAAATCTATAAAATAACAGTTTAGAAAATGATTCATCATTTTATAGTAGTTAAAATACATGATTTTTCTTTCAAATTAAGAAAAATACGTGCAAAAAAAATGTGATTATTTTGCGGATTTAAATACAGTTAAAATAGTTAAATACAGAAAAAACTAATTAGTATTTGTAAAAATGAAAGTTCACAGGAATGTCCAGTTCTGGGCCTGTTTCTTTTACGGTTACTGTGTAAATTGATGCCTGTTTTTTCTGTGATTTTACACGTTATTGTTTGTTATTTAACAAAAACAAGAAAAAAAAATCCATAAAATAATAATAAAACTTTCTACTGTGTGAATATGAAACTGCAGCCAGTCGTCAGTTCACAGCTGCCAACTCTTGAAGGAACCGCTTCAGTGAAAAGAACCGACCGGAGCTACGAATGAGTCGGACCTCTCCTGCTTCCTGTCTGGCAGCAGGGCATGCTGGGAGCTGTAGTCGTTTACCTTGGACTCCACGTCGGCGTTGTGGTCGTTCTGCAGCAGCAGCGCCGCCGCCTTGGTGTCGTCCTTCCTGGCGGCGATGTGCAGCGCCGGCAGTCGCACTTTGCCTTTGGTGTCGTTCTCCAGGAGCAGCGACACCACCTGGTCGTGGCCCTGCTGCAGCGCCACCGCCAGCGGGGTGAAGCCGTCCTGCAGACACACAGACATGTTAGCTTGGATCTGCTGATTTAACTCCAAAAACTGTCCACAAAGTCTCCTAAAATGTTGTAAATCTTGCCGCATAAAACTTCTTTTAATCTCTTAATGCTTTATTTACTTAGCTTGTAGTTGTGCAGACGAGACACGAGGTGGTTTCTAATAAACACAAAGCTGTGGTTGGAACACTTTTATTACAATCTCTGGAAATCCTCTCATGAAGCACGTCGCTGCCTTTCATTTGGGATTCGGTGAACTGGTGTTAATCTGTAATTTAGCTGAAGTGTTTTCAGAATTTAAACAAAATGTCGATCAAAAGGCAAGATTACGTCTTTAAGTGTCTCGTTTTGTCCACAATCCAAAGATTTTAACGTCACAGAGGACGAAAGAAACCAGAAAATATTCACATTAACAAGCTGGAATCAGAGAATTTGAGGTTTAAATTGACTTTTTATTGTTTATTAGTTAAAAAAAAAGGAACGACAGCAGCAGCAGAGATGAGAAATGAGTAATTATCTCTTTTTTTTTTGCCTACGTTTCGTTACAACTGGTCCGTTGGTTCATTTCTTCATTTATTTATTAGATGTTTGGTTCATAAAACACCAACCGAAGCTGAAGATTACGTCCTCTAATGTCTTGTTTTGAATAATATTCTGATTATTGTCACAGAGGAGGAAAGAAACCAGAAAGAATTCACATTTAAGAAGCTGGAATTAGGGAATCTGGGGTTTTATATATTTATTATAACTTTTTACGAGTTAAAAAGGGATCAACAGCGGCAGTAATAGTGCTGAGAAATGAATAACTGACGAATTCTCATCTGATTTCAAAGACAACTGAGATTATCTGGGGGGGGTTTGTTGTCTGTTGTGTGTCATCATGATCGGTGCAGAAGCATTGACGATAACTCTGTTGACTCATTTATTGATTAACTGATCACTTCTTTGGTTTGTAAAATGGTGAAAAACACCAACCAAAGCTGAAGATTACGTCCTCAGACGTCTCAATTCGTCCCCAATCCAATAACGTTCAGTTTATTGTCAAAAAGGAGGGAAAAAAAAACCCAGAAAATTTGAAATTTTATACATTTATGTTAACTTTTTGTTGTGTTTATTAGTTAAAAAAAGGAACAACCGCAGCAGCAGAGTAATTATTTGACAGATTCTCCTTTTTTATCGCCTCAGTTTTCACTATCTGTCGTCACAACTGGTGAGCAAGCACTGACCATAACTCTGTCGGTTCATTTCTTGATTAACTGATCACTTATCTGGTTTATAAAAAGACAGAACATGGTGAGAAACACCACTCCAAGCTGAAGATTACGTCCTCAACCCGATAACATCCAGCTTATTGTCACAGAGGAGGAAAAAAAAACAGAAAACATTCACATTTAAGAAGCTGGAATCAGAGGATTTACACTTTTTTATACTTTAAAAAAAAAAGAATGAATGATGAAAACAGCTGCTGACTGATTCAGAAGCTGATGCTCGTGCCGTTGACGTCACTTTGATGCCAATGTGGCTAAAAAACAAAGTGTTTTTAACGGCCGCTGCAGCTTTAAATCTCCAGCTGCAGGACATGAGATCCTGCGAAGTGCTTTGCTGCAGTCGCGGCCTTTCTGAGCAGAGCTACAGTTTATAAACCAGGCTGATGCTTCACCATCCCGACTGCTGCGGTGGGCCTCATCCACACAGTAACACTCATCAATGCTCCACTAACTGATCACGCTGCTCGATTCTCTCACCAAAACGGCAAAAGATCACGTGAGCATCTTGTTCCCGACGCCAGCTGCAGCCGTCACGCTCTCCGCTGTGACACATTTAGCATTTCTGGTGGCAGGTTTTTGTCAGTCAGACACGAGTCACTCTCAGGTTTCTGCTCCCGGAGGATTTATTCTGGGAGGAAACGGACGCTTTTGTTCCCTCACCGGCTGAATGATTCATGTTTGCTTCATCAGTTTCATCATTTAACACAGTTTGATTAAACGACATCATTAGCGTCTTACCTGCCACCTCATGCACCTCGTGTTTATGTCCTGACACGTTTACATGCAGCTGCACCTTGTACGTCGATTCTGAGCGACGTTTTTGTACGTGTTTAGTAAAAGTGACTGTTTTTAAGCTCCCACTGTTTTCATAGATGCACTTGCATGTGTTTTTTTTCCCTCCTAGATGTTTTATATTTACAGATTTCTGCTTTTAAAAATGTCTGATTGAATGTTCAGTCATGATAAATAAATTCTGTTTTATGATTAAATCTGTCGCCTGTCTGACAGAATAAAATCTGATTCATGTCAAACATTTTGCAGGTTAATAATAACAATAATTACAATATATTCATCAATGCAGGATTAAATCTAAAAGATAAACTGCTGGTTGGACTAAAGAGACGCAATTAATTAATCTAACGTTTGTTATTATTTTTGTTTTTTTGTTTTGTCGTTACCTTTTTTGTAAACCGTTGAGTATCTTTGAGTATCTTGAAAAGCACTACATAAATATTATTACTACTACTACTAATAATAATAATATTAATAATAATAATAACAATAATAATAATTCCACAATTAAATCATCATGACTGACGACAGCGTTAACATTTCTGTTCACAGAAAACGGTTCAATTTGAGTAAATCTGATCTCTGAAAAAGCTTAGAAGTTTTTGTTTCTGGTGTCATTTTTGGTCATTTCTTTAAGTGGACATGAAGAATAAACAGATTTTAAAGAAATATCTCGATTTTAAGTCGAGGTCTGGTAAGTTTTCATCAGGATTTCTGTCCAAAGTTGACATTTTCTTTCTGTTTTTAGTCGTTTTTCCCTGAGAGATGCTGTAATTTTCACATTATTTTTAAAGGTAACAAGCCTTTTAAACCTTGTGGGAGGTTTTGGGGTTCAGAGGGTTAATTCACACTTGTGCTGTTTTAATTCAGTCTTCATGAGTTTAACAAAAAGACACCTGGATGCTTTTTCATACCAATGCGGAGTTACTGAATTTCTGATTTGAAATATGGATTTGTTTAAAGATATTTGTGAAAATTTGGCTCGATATATAAGATAAAAGAGTTTTTAGTTTTTAAAAATTGCTTTATCAGAGATTTTTTGGTGCATTTAAACTCCAGACTATTTTTTAACCCTGACACGACTCGTCAC